ATATGACCCCCTATGAGCAGCACTTTGGCGACAGTGGGAAGGAAAAACTCCCTTTTAACAGGAAGAAACCTCCGGCAGAACCAGGCTCAGGGAGGGTTTATTTGACCGTTATATTAAAAATAGACATGAAAAATGAAGGTGGCAATTAGAAAAAACCACTGCTTAAACTTTGTAAATTCATTCAACCAGACATGTTAGTCAGACATGCTAATCTGAACAATTGAAAAAGAGAACATTTGTCTTGTTTTTATACATTTTTATGTGAAAGCCCATATATTTATCAATTTAATGACATTTTCTCTTCATCTGCAGGGCTGATATATTGGCCAATATTAGTTATTTCCTGATATATCAATATCTGCACTTATAACAGACAATAAATGAAAACTATCCACCCACTCTCATTCTCCATTTCATTATATCTACTACATTTATCAGATACAAAAAGGAAAACAGAATGTGACTTTAATGAGAGAATCTGCAGGTTTTCAGTCGAGTACCTAGCTGTGTCTACAACGAGCGAGCCATAACAGACCTTGATTTGTTTGGCTTTTTGTGTTTGATAAATTGATGGTTATTGCCTAATCTAGACGGCTTTACTGTTTATCCCACACTACAGCAAACAGCCCATCAAAAAGGTCAGCCCAGACCCCACAGGAGCCTGAATCCAGGTTTGTGGGTTAGCATTCTGATTCTGAGCATCAGACATCTTTGAACACAGATGGAGGGCAAGGGGGATAAGGGACTGCAAATAAATGGTAAGCTGTCTCGCTTTCTCATTGCTGCACCATGCCACTGTGTGTGCACGCGTTCATCCACAAAGACACACGCATCTTTGATTTCTATTGATTCTGTAGCAAAATGACAGTCCTTCCTCCACAGAGGGGGGTGTGAATGCATAATGATGCACCGGGCCTAATTGATTTCTCATCTTCCCACCTGATCTCCTGCTTCACTTTAATTCGGACTCTCTATTAGCTTTGAGAGAAACACAAAGAAGGAGAAAGATGGGGAGGAGGAGAGCCTATGGAACGGAGAAGAAAGTAACAGTAAAAAACACTTAACAGTCACAGTGAAAGACAGAATAAATAACTAATGTCCTTCTACTGTTCCTGCATAAAAGGAAAAAATCCAGAATAAAGAAACTCCTAATCCACTACATATACCCTCCTTAGAATATTGAAGTAAACAAAATGACGTCTTTTCCTCAAATTTTCTTCCACTGACTGATGTTCTGGGGGAGGAAAAAGCTTTGTTTGGTTACATTGCTGGGACTCACAAACGTTGCTTTTTTAAGTCAGCTCCTGTGTTGAAACACAGCCCAACATATACTGAGAAAAATGCTTCCAGACATTAATTATCTCAGATGAGGAGAAAGCAGCAGAAACAAAAATAAATAGCAGCAGAGTGTGAAGAGCTGAAACATTCCCAATCTCTCCCACTGACCCGCCTGCTCCCCCTAATCACTTGCCTCAGATGTGCATGTGCAAGCTTAATTTCATGCCTTGTATACAACTTATGCACTTTTAAAACTGCTTCCACCACGGGCCCCTCCGCACAGCAGGAGGACATCCGCGTGTCAACTGCAGGATAAATTACAGCTAACGGGGGGTCTTGGCTGAGCTAGTCAGGGTTATGTCCTGGGATCAAACTTCCAGCCCTTTGCTAACCCTAAAGGTTAATGCCCAAACATACACCCCTGGTTTTTGTCAGCAAGTGACATGGGACCATCTGCCTCCACTCTCCAGTTACCTCAAGGACAGGCCTCCTGTCACAGCTGATGCAAGGCCTGAAATATTAAAGAAACACTGTGTAATGCTCACTTCTTATGTAATTCATATCCATGCTTGTGCACATACAGGTAATGAAAATACATAGAAAAATATGCTTGTGCACTTCTCAGCAGGGTATTTAACAAAAACATGTCAACACCTGAACGTTTTCTCCTCACACCTGACACAACGCCGTAACTTTGACCCAAATACACTGACAACTAGGAATATTTGAGCTATTAAAATGCTGTTTTTGGCCCACTACACAGCTGTGCCTAGAGAATAACAGTGTTTGATTTGAGGAGGCAAGCCGGCACATTGCCTGAAGCTGTAATAAATAATTAGCAATAATGGGTGCACCCGGCATGACACTGAGCCTTAGATTTAGGGCAGGGAGATACATTAGCATCCTCAAATGGGATTGAAATGGGAGTATGGATTGTAACAGAGCAGCTGAAATATAGATGAAAAACATGAGGGAACAATGCCTGCATGTCACTCTTATAATAATTTAACTTTCAGAGATGCAGGGTTTTTTTGGTAAGTTAATGTTTGCTGTGCCTTAAACTGACTCGACTTCTAAAATACCACGGTCTGTTCATTTACTCATTTTATGAAACACAGAGCCAGCACACATTAAGCACCGCGTACTGCTAACTGTTGCTGTCGGTGTCTGGGAGGTACATTGGGAAATTTCTAAATACAGAATGCAACACTTAAGATAGGAACTCAAAGGATCTTGCAGACCTCTTTTGTATGCTGCGTATACTGCCAGAACTGTAGAACAGATAACAAAGCTAATATGCCAAGAGGGAAGTAAAAATAGACATCAGGCTGTAGCTTAGCTCTCCACAGCTTTTATGAAAAGAAATGCAACACTCAAGGAGGAAAGTCTAGTCTACATGTAAATTGCTTGGTGTCATTGAATGTTTGTGGATGGTTGTAAATGTTCTCTTACAGATCAGAAATAATGTTTAATTTTGAGGTATTTGACTTGTTTTAACTTCATTCTTTAAGTTGAGTTTAATTAACGTTCACATGGGAAGCCTGGAGGTCTAGAAAATTTAGCAAATTTATATAAGTTTGCCAAATCTCCCCAAAACAATAAGATGATGCCATAAGATAAAGGGCGTGTAATTGGACGAAGCGGACATTATAAAGGTTTCCTACAAGTGATCAGCATATGTGCTGATGCCCTCCAAACAGAGCTCCTCCAATAGTCAAACGTGCTCGGATTTGTAGCTTTTTATTCAATTCCGTTTTATTTGTACAGCTCCAAATACAGCAACAGTCGCCTCAAGGCAATTTATATTGTAAGGTAGACCCTCAACAATACATACAGAGAAAAACCCAACAATCACATGAGCCCCTGTGAGCAAGCACTTTGGTGACAGTGGGAAGGAAAAACTCCCTTTTAACAGGAAGAAACCTCCGGTAGAACCAGGCTCAGGGAGGGGCGGGGCCATCTGCTGCGACCGGAGTAAAAATATTAATGAAAAATTTCCAAAAGGTTTAGTCACTTCCTTGAATTTCATGATATGGGGGAACTATATATACAGATATTACTGGACTGATAATCTATTTGGGTCTATTCCTTTAGTGGGATACAGAATTAGTCCTTCTGCCATCCCTGATAAAATATCTCTACAATCAGCAAGGATTTTCCACACAACTTGAATCTACTTGTGGAGTTGGTTGCACTGCTAAGATTTCAGATTTCAAGTACTGTGTGACAAACAATAGATTTGGGTGACTCTCCAATTCCACTGTATGGGACAGAAGCAGGTGATGGTAGTTCTTGTTCACTTCCCAGCCTGCAGCACAACAAGGAGTAAGTAAGTAAGTAAAATGTTATTTGTATAGCACCTTTCAAGTCAAAAATCCCAAAGTGCTTCACAGAAAAACTTCACAGAGTACCATCAACAAAGGGTCCAAAACAATAAAAAAAAAAAACAACTTAAAATGCTTTTGAAAAGCAGGAAATGAAGATCATCTACACTGTGGATAAAGTGGTTCTATCTATTCCTCAGTGATGGAAACTGTCGAACTTTATTCAGTCAGCACTGTTAGAAAGATTTGAAAATGGTCAGTGTCTTTCATGCAGCTTTCTAATGTTTAGAAACAACAGCCCCGCCCCCCGGCCAGGCAGAAAGTATCGAAACAGGAAGTTGGTGAAAGGGTGTGGAGATCAGTGTGGTGAATGAGCAGGTAGCAAGTGTGATTTTAATGCGGGAAAAAGCCTTTTTTCAGTCGAGGTAGTAAAAATCATCAGTGGAATATCCTGATGAACAAGATGAAGCAACGTCAGCCTGAGCTGTTCCCCACACACTGCGCTCCCGCTCACACCTGCTGTCACTCACGTAGCAAAGCTAAACAAAGTGCTTACAACGAAAACATCTCACCTCCCCTGCTCCACCCCACCCATGCTTGACATATGATTTTCAGCAACACGCTGAAGATATCCACACTTGTATCAACACAATCATACACACACCCCTCGCTCCCTAGGGGCGTAGATGTGACATGCAGCTGTCAGAGTCCCGTGGTGATGCAGCTCTGCATCTGCTAGAGTAAACACACTCCAGTGCTGTTGCCGCTGCTGCTTCACCTTTTTACGAAACATCACACGCCCACTTAAGTACACAGACTTCATTCCTGAGACTGTTTCCATTCTGAAATGATGATTGAGGAGGTGATTATTTCCAGGGCATAATTTATTATAAGTGGACTATATCTCATTTGTGCTTATATTCAGTGTGAAGTTTGTGCCTAGAATTGTATCCCATTTGTCCAATATCAATATATAAATTGGAAGGCTGGTAAAGTTTTAAATAGGCCAAGAATAAGCAGGCAGTCCTTACATAGTGAATGGGACAAAAATGGAATTAATAGGCATGTAGAGAACCTCATAATTCATAACATTTTGTGGTTCAATGTTTCTTCCACTGAACACTTTTTAAGGGTTTTTCTTCATTCTTCATCCCTTTTTCTCTATTCCCCAACATTAGGCACATTTAGAGATGGGAGTACGCATTAAACCCCATTTGCTTAGTTCATGCCAAACGCTGGCATTTTTACTTTGGTAAGTAATCATCAGTGCCATTCGTGGCAGAGTTCAAAGGTGAAACCACAGCTCACGAAAAAGAACACAATAACCCAATTCATGTACGCCAAAAACGTCTTGATGATCCCCACGACTACTGGAAAAATACTCTTTGGACTGATGAGAATTGAATTTCGTTACATCAGATGTAAAAACAGCACAGCATTTCATAAAAAGGCTGTCACACAAACAGTCCAATACGGCTGCGAAGTGTGATGGTCTGGGGCTGCTTTGCCTTATAACTCTTTTGTTGTTGTTGTTGTTGTTGTTGTGTGGATTAATCAGCAATAACCATTTATTTTTCAAAAGGTGAGTGTTTGTGCTCTAAATCAGAGACTCCACGTTTTACAGTGGTTTTTTTCCTAGTAACTGAAGCTCCATCTATGAGTGTAATGAAAGGTCAAAACCCTTCTACCCTTCAATTTTTTTGTTTTTTGTTTTTAGCTTTAATGCTTGGCTGTCCTAATTGGCAGAAAAAGCACCTGTGCTAGAGGGTAGAGGTTTGGGTCTCTAATGTAGCAAACAGCTTATACTTGTAGGACTGTATTAACTCTCATAAACAGACGCACAAACAGACACACAAAACCATACACCGATGGGATGAAATGGAATACTTACAGGATGGGCCGACTGTGATGGAGTGATGCAGAAATGGGTGGAAGAAAGAAAAGAGAGAAAGAAAGTTGAATAGCATGATGAGATGACGATGGATGGTGAAACTAGTTCAAACATTTGAAATTTTGGAACACCATACGTACCTAACCGTGTAACTAGCTGTGATTTAATAGAATACATATTTTCCTTTGAATGTGTTTGTGTTGCATTCCTATGATCCCCACTGCAGCTACAGTGCTGCAAAATGTTTTGCACATTTGCAACACTTATGACAGTGATTCAGATCAAACAAAGATAATGTGAGTAAATACAAAATTAGAAATTTTAAATGATGATTTCATCTATTGACGGAAAAAAAGTTATCCAAACGTATTTGATTTTATCCTCCTGAGAACCGAGGAAAAAACAATCTTCCCATTGAACTTTTTTTGGTATTTCCTTCCTTCTTTGGAGCCAAAGGAAGCCACCCAAACACATGAGATATCATTGGAAAGCCCAGGATGTCCGCTATTTAGGACATCAGGACTTAGTAGGGTATTTCAAATAATTCAAAAGGTACAGACCAAAAACAAATGTCCATTACAGAGGAGATAAACGAATAGGCTGGTTCTCAGGAGGCTACGTCACAAATTGACTTCCCCCTAAACCTAATGACTGGTTGTTCCACCCCTGGCAGAAAAAACTGCAATAACTGGCAATGAGTCTTTTTTTGTCCCACTCTTCTTTGCAGAATTGTTTTAATTCAGCCACACTGGGGGAATTTGGACTTTATTTTACCTAGCCACACCCAGGACTGATTACTGCCAGGCCTGATGAGTCAAGAAATCACTTTAGTAGGGGTGATCGTGGCTCAAGAGTTGGGCGTTCGCCTTGTAATCGGAAGGTTGCTGGTTCGAGCTCCAGCTTGGACAGTCTCGGTCGTTGTGTCCTTGGGCAAGACACTTCACTGGTGGTGGTCAGAGGGCCCGGTGGCGCCAGTGTCTGGCAGCCTTGTCTCTGTCAGTGCGCCCCAGGGTGGCTGTGGCTACAATGTAGCTTTCCATTGCCAGTGTGTGAATGTGTGTGTGAATGGGTGGATGACTGGTTGTGTAAAGCGCTTTGGGGTCCTTAGGGACTAGAAAAGTGCTATACAAATACAGGCCATTTAGAACTCTGATGAAGGGAAGTAGTCTAAAAAATCTCAAAAACCAACATGTCATGCCATGATATCAAGACACTCAAGAACAGATGAGAAACCAGTTAGTAAAGGGTTGCAAAGTCATTTCTAAGTCTTTAAGACTCCAGTGAATCATGGTGAAAGCCATTATCCACAAACAGAGGAAATCTGGAACAACTTTCCCAAAAGTGACTGGCCTACCAAAAAAACCCAGAAAAACATCTAATGAACCGCAGGCTTTGCTTGCCTCAGTTAAGGTGTCACTCATGGGAGAGTCCTGTGGTGAAAACCGCTGCTGATGTCACGGCGAGGTACGCCGATGTGTTTGTTTGACAGAGAGCAAACACTGCACTCAACTTGAACCATCTTGTGCTGATGGCAGAAGCACAAGAACATGAAAACTAAGGCGAAAAAGGTACAATAACTAAACTAAGAAACTGGCAATAAAAACTATGAAAACTGTGATAACTATGGTGTGGTGTGGCATAACAGGCAACCTGACAGAAACATGCAGACTAAATACACACAATGGATGATCGGGGGGAGTGGAAACACATGAGGAAACACATGACACAAATGAACCTAATGACGTCACAGGGGAAGTGAACCTAAATACAATGACAAAGACACACCAGACTCTCTCAAAAGAAATCAGGAAACACAGAAAATACAATGATAAAAGACTAAAAACTAAAATACACAAAACATTGGGTCGCAGACGCAGTAGACAGCTGACTAAAACGAACACAAAGGCCAATTTCAAGTTTGCCAAAACATATTCTGACAATCCCTTTATGATTATTCTGTGGTGTAAAAAAAATTACATCTGACGTATAAATAACAGCATTTCAAAACAAGAACATCGTGCCAACAGTCAAACACAGTGGCAGCAGTGTTATGGTCTGGACCTGCTTTGCTGCTTCAGAAGCTAGCCAGCCATAAATTCTGCTCTTTACCAGAAAACCCTGAAGGAAAATGTCTGTCCATCTCTTCATGCCCCGAAGCTCCCTGATAGACACCACCAGCCTCTAAATGGCTCAGAAAGACACGAAATACACCTTCATTTTTTGGCCTTAAAAGCTTTGGCATGACCTTAAACTGGCTGTTCATGCTCGATGTGGAGGAATTAAAAAGATTCTGCAAAGAATAGTGGCCCAGAACGCCTCGTCAGTGCAAGACTCATTGACAGCCAAGGGTGGCACAATCCTTGAGAGATGTTTAGGGGG